ACCAACTTTGAATACTCAATTTGCTCCTTTCAAATCTTTTACTTTGTAGCTTGAGTAAAATCAGAGCTTCAGCCCCCCAAAAAAAAAATGAGTTACAACTAGCTGACAAGTCTTTTATTATTATTTTCTTTTTCTGTATGATTTCCTATGCCATCGCATAAGGTTTGCTCTTTGATTATAGCTCAGCTGCAGAAATCTATCTGCCACATCACCTTTCAACTTTTCCTGGCAGCTGCGGAAAAACGCTTCGAGCTGCCCGCCATCGCAGCAGCAGCAGCAGCAGCAGCAGCAGCAGCAGTAATTTTGTACAAGTACAAGCAACGCCTACTACCAAAAAAATAAAAAAAAAATGTAAAAAATTTATGAAAATCCATTTTCCAAAGCGTTCATTACGTTGCATGCAAAAATGTGGCAACCAGCACAGCAACATTTGGGCAACCAAAAAAAAAAAAAAATAAAGGCTAACTGCTGCAAGTTTGCATTTAACGCGGCTGCCAGGCTTAATTTTTTCCTTATTTTTAATATCGCGCTGCTCAAGCCAAAAAAGAGGAGAGAGAAAAACGACATGAAAAAACCCACGGCTATGTAAAGCAACAACAACAACAACAACAGCAACAACGACAACCACAACAACTGCTACAAAAGGCAACTCGTTGCATTTTCCACACACACACACACACACACAGATACAAATAGAAAACACATACAGTAAGCCGTAAGTCCATGTCCAGAATCACGTCCATGTCCAGGAAGCAAAACTCTTTGCGTATTTGCGTAGGCAAAACTTGGCGCTTGTCTGCTCAGAGACCGGACACTGCAACAGGCAGCGACAGGCTGAGCGAGGCACAGCCAGAGGGTAGCAGTGGGGATAGACTAGAATTGAGACTCGGCCTGTTCGCTAGTTGGTTTTTCATAATTAATTATTATTTAGCTGGAAAGTACCCCTGGCATATCAAATAACTCAACTGAGTAGACACGAACAAAATGCAAGTGCTTAATTAAAAAAATCTAAGAGAAACTAACAATTATCTAAGCCAGAACGACGACTAAATGCACTAACGGAATAAATAAAATTAAAGTTTAATTTTAAACCAATAATAAATGAATCAAAAAGGTTTTTGGAACGCAGCGCAAATTTTAAGCAGGCCAGTTCAATGAGGCTAACTAGAGATCTTAGCTGGGCACAGTATTTCTATAGGTTGTGGACTGAACAGCCTCATTTGCTTAGCAAAATTATGCTACCACTTTAGAAAGTGTATAACTAGGAGCAAATATCTTGTCTTTTGTTCCCAGGCAGCAGCAGCAGTCGCTTTCGATACGTGATTGTTAGAATTGAGTTGGCCAATCATGTGATTGTTGAAATAACATGTTGCAGCAGCACTTGACTTCATTTACATGACTCAAAGGGTGCCCCGTCGCAGTGCAGCGCAGCTCAGCGCAGAGATCGACCCAAAAACCAAAAAAAAATCCAAAAACCATAACCAACTGCTACTTAGCCCAATTTCGCATAATGCACATGAGTGTTTTCCCTACGGTTCCCCTCGACAACTCCAGTTACAGTCTCTGAATCTCAAAAGTCTCTCTCTCTCGCTCTGCCTCTAAATATATCTTTGTCTCTCTCTCTCGCAACGGTCTCTTTTTGTAAATTACAAAACAGCCAACGGGCAACGTTCGAAAAATTGAGCCGCAGCAATTGTAACACTTTTTTGTTGTTTTTTTTTTTTTCGCTCAGCTCCAGCCAAAATCTAAACTAGGCAATAAGAAGAAAAAAATACAAAACGGCAACAAAAAATTGCTCATGAAATTCCCTCGAGACAAACTGCACGCCAAGCTGCAGCCTGCCGCCCCTCTTCACCCTTCTCCCTTCTCCCTGCCCCCTGCTCCCTGCTCTCCCTCCACAACTTGTGCTCAGCGTTTAGCTGGCTGCCATTTGTTGCGTTGAGATTGTTTGTGAAAAGTGCAGGCTAGCTGGAAAAACGCTCCCCAGAGTAACATTACAAGCCATTTGGCCAGAACTGTAGCTGGCTGCACTGCGAACAATTTCTGATTCATTTCATTAACGCTTTTTCTTTATATAAAATAATACTTATCATAAATTTAGTTATAGGCCAGATTGCAATTTAAACGATTCTTTTTTTAGTTTTAATTAAGTACCAAATTCCAAATTACATTCTTAAATAAACTTTTATTATTTTCAGAATTCTTAGTCTGTACATTTTGTAATTATGGTGAATTTGGTGAACAGAGAAAGAAAGGAGTTGATAAATCAAACAAATTGTACATATAAAAATGTAGTGCAATAAATGAAAGCGCCAGTTTTTTACGGTGCACATGCCGTTCTCAGTGTCAACCCTCGGCAACATGTTGAGGGCGTTTAGCAGCAGATAATTTTTATGACCCGACTCGCTGAGAGTTGAATTGTTGTTCTTGGCGCGGCACAAGCAGCCAGAGATTGACCCACCACCCAATTGGACACACCACCCGTTCCATCCCCACTCACACCCCCTTCCCCCTTTTTGTAGCGATTTGCTGTAGCTGTAGCTCGGTGAGATAATTTTATACAATTTATTATCAACGTGCGTCGCGTGCAACACTTGCCACATGGCCGCATGGCCACACAGCTCATCAGCGCTCTTCTAGTTGCCCGTTGCCCGGTTGCCCCGTTGCCCGTTGCCCCGTTGCCAGTGTTGTTGTTGCGTGTTAAATGTTTTCACGTGGCACACAATCGTAATACATACATATCTGGCACTCGGAATCGGTATTCTCAATTCGATAATGCCCAGCATTGCGTGCAGTCTTTGCCCGACTGCTTGTTGCATTAAAAAGCGTTTAATAAGCATTAGATTACACATTTCAGTATTACGGTATCATTCAGGGGGGTTTCCCTGTCTCTCTCTCTCTCTCTCTGATCGGGTTAAGGGTGACCAACTTATCTCTCACTTAATGTTCCACAGTTGCACCAATTTAACGCTCTGAGCTTAAAAGTCAGATATATATATATGTATATATTTATACATGTCTGTGTCTGCCCCAAGCATAACTGATTAAATGGGCTTATCAGCAGATACAGCTTAAAATTTATTGGGTTTAAGTTTGACTTTGAAACTTATATCTATAATAAGATTAATGATATATGTAAACGTCGATTACTGCATTAGTTATAAAGTTATTAAGTTTGCTAAGTTTTAATATAATTGAAAGTATTTTAATCACCCAATTTATGAAATGGTTTTCCCTTAGTTATAATTTATTCTAAGCATTGCTATTTACATGCCCGAATATTCTTTGTCAATTCCAATCTTGCCAAAAAAACTGATTTTATACGAATAATTTAGATAAATATACAATAATTTAAGGTACAATTTGATTGCACATTGCCTTTAAGAATTTTCTTGTTATTTTACTGCATTAATTCAGATAATTTTTTCTAATTCTGAACAAGAGCAGAATTTTAGATGGTTTATAGATTTCTTGCAAAGTTTACTTAACTTTAAGACAATTGAAAGTTTATTAAGCACGCAGATATTGAAATTATTTCCCCTAACAAATGATTCTAAGCGGTTTTATTCCAATTCTCAACTTCTTCTTTAAAGTTCGAGAATACTTTTTATATATATTCTATATATATTTATCAACACATTAATAGCAATATTTAGACATTTTAGAAAGCCAAAAAGCCGCAAACATCTTGATTAAGCTACATATCAAGTATATATTTAATGCCAATCATTTTTAGATTATTTCTGTATTTGTCTTGCATAGTTTCAGTTAATTAACTGGAAGCTTGTGAAGTTGCACATTTTCCTTTAAACAAACCGCAACAAATGATGGCAGCCTCGAGTAATAATCGACTGTCAGACTGTCAGACTGCCAGACTGCCAGATTGCCAGACAGACTATGTCTTTATCTATCTATATGGCAATATGTGGATTTGTGTGCAGCATTTTGAAATATCCAAAAACTTTGAAAACTAACCGCAAAAACCACACAAAGGCAACAAAGCCGTTTTCATTTTATATTTTGTTATTCTGTGTTTGTTTTTTTTATTTTGTGCTTTTTTTTTTATTAAGTATTCTGCGCCTATATTTGTTTGGCTTTTGATGTAATTGACCAAGAAATACGGAGACTAAGGCAACGCAATCAGTTTTATGATTATTCTGTGCGCTGATTGTGGGACAATTTAATTGCCTGCCTAGGAATATATACACAAATACAAATATGATTTTTGTATATGTATAATATTAAACAAACAGCTTTGTAAACAAACGTGTTCCGTATAGAAATCACCAGTCTATTTTGAAATGTCTTTTGATTATCAAAAATTATGACACAGGCATAAACTGGGAATGTCGACTGTATAAATATCTTCTTTATTATCATATGTATGCAGATACACATATATATATATATATATATATATAAATATATACATAAAGAAAACTGCTTATGATCAACCCTTCAGCAATGGTTTTCCTTTTGTCAATTTGCAATCGGTTTGTTATTTGAGCTATGAGGGGACTTGTAGATAATTTTTTGAGGCTTAATTTGAGAACTTTAATGCCATGTTAACTAATCTACAAAGCAAAACATTTAAGGATGAGGTAGAGAGAGAAAGAGAGAGAGCGGCAGAGAGCAGAATGCATTTTGAATTATGTCCAATGTCGTGTTTAAAAGGCGGCATTAAAATCCATTAGCGAACACGGCGCATAAATAAAACCGCGTTGCCTCAATTTCCCTGCTCGGCTTGTTGTTGTTGCAACTGGCCAAAAATAGCCAGATTAGGCGACGAGACAACGAGAAAATGGGATACAAATGACGCTAATAAATATTGAGAGAGTGCGCTGCATGTGCCACAAAGGATTTGGGGGAGGCGTGGCGGCCATTAGAGAGCGGAAATGGTGTTGCCCTTCAAAAGGAGTATGCATGTAATATGTTGCATATTGTACATGTTGCATGTTGCATATTGCATATTGCGTATTGCAACTGAAGACGAGACTTACCCTTGAGCGCTGCAACTTGTGTTAATCCATTAAATCCAGCTAGTAGAGGCAGCAGCAGTGGCATCAACAGTGGCAGCCACGCACAAACTGACAATGGAGGTGAGTGACGCATCTTTGGGCTGATGTCGGTTTTCTCTAATTTTAGCTGCAACGTTGCAGCGACATTTGGATTGTTTCTTTTCTGTCGTCGTCGCTGGCTGAACTCGCTTTGATTTTTATTTTTATTCTCAATTTTTAATTTATTTTTAATTTTAATTTCGTTGGCACGCATTTCACATAAATGCATTTTGTCAGGTTTTATTTTCTTTTTCTTTTTTTTTTTGGTTTCTTCGTTTCAAATTCTTGATTTTCACTTTTTCGAAATGCACTTTTCTTTCACTTGAATTTTTGGCACACGTTTCTCTTTCTACTCGAAAATTTAAATCCTATGACATGGCGCTTAGACCGGAAAACGGAATCCGCTGGCAGCCAATGACGTTGCGACGTTATCGTTGCTGTTGTTGTTGCTGTTGTTGTTGCTTACGCACGAAACCCAAGTCGCGGCCGAGCGACCGAATCTTTAGACGTGTTCAACATGCGAATAGCCCCGAACGTGTGAGCGACGAACGCAAGAAAAACACGCACACGAACCGCTCGCACAACCGATGCGACCGACTACCAGCAGCAAATTGAATGTGGCCAGCAACATGTTTGTCGTTTACCCTGTTAAGCTAGCAGCGCACACAGTCCACACATGGTCCACACGGCCTGCTGCTGTCGCTGTGCCCATGCTCAAAATGGCACTGTTAAACTGTTCGGCAGCAAGGAAATGGGCGCTGTTAAACTTGTTGCATGCTGTGGATGCTAACTGTCACGGTCTACAGTTGCTTTGTTTACAATTGCAGAAGCTACGTTTGTTTTGTTCCATTTGCCGTTTGTTTCACAAATGTTGAGACACACTTTTGTCTATGTTGCAAATGTGGTTAATTTGCAACATATTCTGCTTGTTGTGCAAATAAATGTTGCATTAATAATATATTAAGTCTATTTATATGTTAATTTTATGATTTCAGTCTGAAACACGTACAGTATATTATATTTTTTACTGCCCGGCTTTTGTCGAGTCTATCATTATTTTTATGGCTGTCGTTAAAAAAAAAACGAACGGTAAACTCGCTTATAATCAACATGCTCTAGTAATTTTTAATAATTAGCTAATTAATCTTTTAATGAATGCTGTGATGAAAACAGGAATTTACAAATGAATATATATGCACAATTGAAAAACAAACAAAATATATATAATAAGTGATAAAGTTTTTTTTATTCATTTATCCGGCCAAAAATTAATAAGCTCTATTTTCTCAACAGTTTTATTTGATGACTATTTTATGATAAATATTCTATTGAAAATGAATAAAACTAATTTTAAGATTTATAGATTTTAATACCATTTCTTTTAACAGCTCTAAATTAGTAATTTTGGGATCTTTTATTACGAGGCAAGTCCATTTTGTTAACACTTTCATTTTATTATATTTATTTGATTTAATTTCATATAACTTTTTATGCATTTACTCAACTGAGTGTTTTTTTTTTTTTATTTTGGCTCACGATACCCAAACTCATTAGGGAGTTGATTGTGAATACCTTTGGCTTTTGACAGTTAAAGAAGAAAAGTTGTATTTTCATCCATTCTTTTGTTCGATTTTCTAGTTGATGTTCGCTCATTGGCAACATGTTGCTTTTTTCCGACTGTTTTTCTGTTCTGTTCTGTTCTATTCAAATCTCAGGTCGTCGATTTTTAAGGCCCGGTTCTTTTGAGAGTGTTGACCATTTGCTATCTAATCTGAACGAGTGCCGCACTCGCTCTCCAGCTGTTAGCTCATCCATTTCCATTTCCATTTCCAAACTGCAATAAACGCCACACAAGCCAGACGAACGTCGAGCGCATTTCACAACAAGCCCAAAAGAGGAAGACAAAATTGAGAACAACAATAACAACAACAAGATCACATAGAACCACTTGGGGTCATATCGTATCCATATCGGGGCAACAGACGACGCCTCGGCGTCCGTTAGAAGCCGCTAATGAATTTCGAAAAAGTATAATAAAAAAAAAAAAACAAAAATCAATTGAATGGACACAAGATATTGTATTAATTTATCAAAAAGTGCATATCCCAAAAACGAGGCTTTTTATAAATCGCTGCCTAATTTCCCAACGTTTGTTAAATAATCAATAACTTCTTAGTGCACTCCTCCCCCCCTCTCACATACAGGTAGTTTCAGCTGGAGTGTGAAGTTTGTTCATTAATGCGGCTCAGATACAGATACAGAGTTTGACCAAGTGTAAAATAAAGGTGTGTATCTTTTTATACAAAATTGTGCGTGCATTCACAAGACAGGGCCAAAAGGCAGGCAGCCAGGCTAGTGATAGTCGAGGCAGGCAGGTGTTGTTATTCGTATCGAACTTCTACTTCGACGCTCCTCTCAACAATGTGCATTGTTTTGTCTTTGCCCGAAAAGGTCACAGTGCGTACAATGCACAATGTAACCCAAAAATGCAGGTAGAAAACTAAATGCATATATGTCTTATATACATACACATTGTAGGCATACAGGTAAACCATATTTCAAATGCTGATAATTGGCCAATTTACAGGGGACTCGAGTAACTCGAATTTGATGTGGCAAACACTGAAGTTTGACAACGTCGCACAGTTTTACAGCTCTCGATTTGCTAGTTTTAATATTCGATTAAAGTTTAATTTTATATTCAAATCAATTTCTTAAATTCAAAATTGTCAATTAATTTTGTATTTAATCTTAAGTTTTCAAACACTTCTCAAACAACAAATCTCCCGAAATTAATCTAAAGCAAGTTTGCACTTTACAACATTTATGCAAAAGTTCTACCACAATGAATGCCATTGAAATACGCTTTTAAATATTCCATTTGAGTGCAGCTTCACTCTCTGCGTTGTTGCCGTACTTCACTCAAGGCAATGCTTGAAGCTTGGCAACATCGCACGTTTTACGTCTTTTGGCAAAATATTGTCAGGGCTTAGGAAACGCTTGTCGCTATCAGCCATTTAAATGTTTGTGTTAGCCGTAAGTTGTCATTGTTGCCTGACTGACTGACTGAGTGACTGAGTGACTGACTGTTTGTCTGTCTTTCTATCTCCCTCTCTACAACTCGCTCGCTCTCTGTCTGTCATGTCTGCTTTCGGATGGGCATAAGCCCCTGTTAATGACATGTAAGTTGCGTCTCAATTGCGGATTTGCTTAGCTTACTTTGCTCACGAAATGAAATGACATTTTGATTGCCAGACAAAGTTCACTCTTCCGCTCTAGCAATAAATATTATGCTCGTATTTGCTAATGGGTGCAGGTTTGAGTACATCAAAATTTAACATGACTTTTATTTCTCGTAATTAATTTATGATGCCAGCTAATTTGCCAATCAAAAACACTGAAAAGGCGTTAATGGCAACAGCAGGCGTTCGTCGTTCGTCGTTTTAAGTTTCATCTTTGGGTATAGAAACTAAGTCAGCCAGCTTGTCATGCCATGCCTTAAATTTTAAAATTATAGAAAATGTAGACAATTATTAAGTTAATAAGAGTTGGGATAGATTAAATAGATTAGCTTGATTTGATGCGATTTTTTATTTTTTCTTATTAAAATATATATTTTGTTAAATTTTTATAAGTTATACAAATATTAATATTATATTTTGCACTTTATTCTGGGTTTATTTACTAAACAATCTGTCGAACTCATTGATAAACAATTTGTTCTTATTAGAAGAGTATGCAAAATGTAACTAAAGCAAATCAAATAAATTTGCCCCTCTTCAAATGTTTTAATCGGACTCGCAGAATCAGCAGAAGAAAATAAATCTTCAAAAGATACACAAATAAAAAATAAAAAAAAGAAACTGGCTCAAGAGGATAACCCTTGAGTTGGCTGAAAAGTGTTTCCGCATTTGGCGTAAGCTGCGAGCATTTGGTTAAATTTGCGCACATTTTGGCTGCGGCTTGCAAAAGTCAACAAATTACTCGTACACACACTCAAGATAATTGAAATTAGCGACTGTGACAGGCTGATTGCCTTCCCATGCCCCCTCCTGGGGGACCGGCAGCAAAACCTGATACCGAACATGAACCTAAGACGCTGCCACAAATCTCCACAACTCGACTCAACTGACTGCTGGCTGCTGGCCGCCCACTCGTTTTGGGGCGCAAAACCAAAAACCGAAAGCCAAACCCAAATCGAGTGGGTTTTTTTTTTTTTTTGGACAGACCAACCACATACAAACGAATCCATGTGTGCTGGAGGAACTTGAGGACTTGGGCTTGGGTTTGTCAGTCTCACGTTGAACATCCCAAAGCCAAACGCATGAGGAGTCCAAGTTGGAGAAGTTGGTCTGGTCTGGCTGTGCGTGGAGAAGAGCGCATGCTCATCTAACTTGTATAATGTGTATGAGGAGGGATATGATAATGAGCAGGAAATGAGTTGAGTGTGAAATTTATGTACACAGGAGTGTTTTGAATTCTAGCACGTCTCGTTCCCAGTTTTGTCTATGGCCAGCCCTTCGTCTTGTTTGGCCAACATGACTGATGGCTATAATTAAAATTGTGTGTGTCTGTTTGCGTTTGTGCGTTTGATAATGAATTATGCTTAAATTATGTACTCCATTGATATCCAACCAAAAACAAATCGTGTTTTGATTGACTAAGACACAACCGATTCTTACTTCCTGCACTTACAAAATTCAATATTAGAACATAACTCAGTCTCAAATATTTGTAAATTGCTGACAGTGCATATGCATATAGCAGTTTAACAGTGCAGCGTTGCTTACAAAATGTATTTTGAGCATTTCTTTTATTTTGAAAACTCAAAAGTTATCGTCTTCACACCCAATTTATTGTCCATGAGTGTAAATAAATTTTCAGATACTTTTTAAGCACTGTCAAAAACGTATGTCTCTCAATTGTTTTAAATTATTTATCATTGTAAATAATTGTGTTTATTTTTGTAAATTTTAAATCTGTACACTTGAGATACATTTTAAAATGAGTGCTCCGATGCATCCAGTAAAACGTTTAAGAATGTTGCGGACAGAAAAATTGGTAGATTGATAAAAACAGAGAGCAGAATTGACATTGATTTGGGAATCAAATATTACAAGCTCTAAGAAAAACCCCAAAATTCAGGAAAAACCAGAAAAAATTCTTTTCGTCGTGCTCGTA